ATATGGAGTGCCAGAGGGTCTAATCTACTCATTTCCCGTGAAGTGCACGGGTAATGGAGTATATGAAGTAATTAATGGACTACCGATCTCGTCGCGAGTTGCTGCAATGATGAAAGCCACTGCCGAGGAACTGCTGGAGGAGAAGGCGGACGCTACGGAAATTTTGGGGCGCCAGTGAGTAGGGCAACACGCCATTTTGTTTCATACGTTCCATGTGCAGAGTTTTGTCACTCATCGTTTGCATTTAACCAATAATACTTTGCACTCGGTGATATTCTAGTATGACGTCTTGTAACCGATGATATTAATGCAACTGGGAGGCATGACGGTGTTGCAGCAAATAAAGGACAAGCAATTGACAGCAGCGCAGCAAGCTGAAAGCCGCTTAGTTTGGGAGGTAGCGGTAGAAGGCGCCGAAAGTATGAGTGCAAAACAGCTGACGATGTGTCTCCGAGCGCTCGGTTTCCATATCACAAAGCTTGAAGCCCAGGCGCTTGTGTATGAATTTGACTTCATGAATTCGAGCACTATCGAGCTCGGAGATTTTCAGAAAATCTTTCTTGCGAAGGTGACAACTTGACCTGACCTATCAGATCTTTGACATACATAATCGGCTTCTCGTGTTGTGTGGGGTATTCCAGACACTAGAAAGTAGCGAACGCGACAAGTTTGAGCAAGCGTTCAGGTTTTAAAACTGAACCGCTATATTCAATTTAATTGGTCTAACATAATTTATTGAACTTTAAGCGCCCTGGCAGGTGAGAGTGCAAGCATGATTTCGATGAATCAGCTTGAAGCAGCCTCCAATATTATTCACACGAACTGCAACATCGACAAAAGATGTTTTGACAATAATCTGCTGGACATTAATGTAATTCGGCATCAAATGGCGTTACAAGACTTCGACAAAGATAACGAGGCTGTCAAGCTTTTTCTTGATGCGACCGCTTCAAGTGTTTCTAAAGAAGCTCTGGCCGCTTTTCTAAGGTTGCAATAGATCGAATTGTAAGCTGTCTATTTTTGAAAGTTTTTAATCAATAATATTGTCTTGTGTAATAACACTGAACAAACTTTGAACAAATTCCTCATTTCCGTTGGCAACAAACAACAAGTCCCGAAAAAACAATTGACCAAAATGTCGGGATCATATTGAAGCAGAATCTCGTGGCATTACAATTCGAACCGATTTAAGATATCAAAATGCATGGGTGATGCATATACAATGGCCATCCCTACACGCACCAGACGCATCAGTTTAACGCGGCAGCAACAGTGGCACAAGTCCCCGGCGCTAAGCGAACAGTGACGGTATCACTCAACCGCGCTTGCTAGCACATTCAGGATTAAAATTTCATGAAAGTAGCTTAATCGTACGCGGCCGTCACGCATAGTAGTCAATTCCTTCGATTTTTCAGTACGCACATGTCGACATGTTCGTATCCTCTGAATTCACGACAGTCGTCAAATGGAATTGCAAAAAAATATGGCCTCCACAACGAACAGTCGATATGCTGCTTGTGGCGTAAGCCTGAGTGAAACCGAGGGTTTTAGATATTAGCGGCGACGACAGCAAATGCTTCAGACGTTCATCACGTTATCAGGCCAAAGTTTTTCTTCTTAAATTCACAATTTCTGGTCACTTGCTGGCGCTGTGAATATAAGGCAAGACAATATCACAATATTTTGCTGTTAATCAAGCATTCACACGCTAGAACAGAACATGGACACTCATTCCACGAGAATCAGTTGGACGTACAATTGGATGCCGCCAAGTCTCGCTGATTCTGACAGCGAACCCGGGCATAGCCCAACTAATCAGGCATATCTTGTGCGATCGCGTTTCCTTGCCGTTCGACACGGCTCAGATAGATCGCTGAATTTGTAACGAAGTATAGCCGCCGCTAGGGCTGTCAAATGCACCAGCAACATATAATCGTCTTGTGAAGCAGTTGTTCAGGGAGAGAATTGTCTGTTATGAATTATAATGCACCCGACTCCTTTACGGGAAATTGCACGCTCATTGAGCGCTTAAGAAACCTCCACTCTTGTTATTATCGCAATCTGCAAGTACATTCGTCACTAATGTCACACAATGACTTAAACAAATTTCTTTTATTAGTATAATCACACACAAGCACAAGTTTGTCGCTTGCTGGCAATAGCCCATGGCGTCGTTCAGCTTCCTTGTTTGTACGTCGAAGTCGCTTTGGATTCCAATTTCCAATCGATTAAAAAACTGCACAAATCTCAAATACGCGCTGTCCGTGTTGTACGCATAGTTTAGGAAAGCTTAAAATTTTATTTGGAATTGCAACGTCCGTTGCTTCAACTCGAAGTATTAGGTCCTTTACATTGTACATCAAGCGATGTTACTTATGCGGATATCTTTTGTGTGTCGAGTGCTGAAGACCGAGATGATAGAATGTGCAGCTGGATGAGTGGCTGCAATTGTCGTATGCACACGTGCTAAGCAAATGTCCACGTACGTGAATACTCGGAACTGTTTGCCGGTACAGCTTTTCAGCGAGAGAACCACCTTGATCCAGCTCTTAAGTTCTAGAATCCGGCAGATGCTTTAGCCGTGTCGTTACTCATCGATTTCTTATCGACATAAATACTTCATTCGGCTACCGACAAGTCAGACCACGCCGCAGTGGTCGCCTTTTCGGACACTCCTCCGACATAATTCCGACGAATCAAGTGACGATTTGAATGATGATTCTGGCGACAAAGATTGTAGTCAAATGATGGCAACGAGATACGATTTGAGATGTTATTGGATGAGCTAGAGGCAGTAGAAAAGTTGCTTAGTGTTTAAGAGACGACACCCGATTACCGTCTCTCAGGTTTCGTAACATCGGCATCGCTACAGAAAGAAATTACGTTGGATATACCGGGTAATCCGAGCAACAAAGTTCTTCATCGGCCTATTTCAAATAATGTAGCAAATCGAGTCGCAAGTGCAAGACCTGCTGGACTGCTCCAACTTGCTTAGCGTCTCGCTTTAACAAAAACTGGTGCCGACCTGGAAGGTGATGATCCCGATACTCAGGATCTGAGCTACTTCATCGTCAGTCGTCTGGCTGTAGAAACGTTGACTTGTCTGTATTCGTTTGTGCCAATTGTGGCGAAAGACTCATCCCGATTTGACCGGTATCGCTGGCAATCTAGCGATCTAAAGATGTCAATCAGGACGGTGCTGCGTTGACACGAAGGCACGGGCAGAGATCACTCGCACGCAATATGTAACGATGAAGCAAAGACTGCTAATCCTTATTGATTCAGAAAGGCCATCATTTTATGGCGAAGAAGTAAAATATGCCTCCATGGAATTTCTCGTATATATATTCAAGCGTATTGAAGGCGCCCATGTGATGTGAAGTTCATGTTGCAAGCAATTTTGTTCTTTTCTTGGCTATAAAACTTTGACCAGACACACACTCATTATTAACACTAGAAAATACCACAGTAGTTCACATGAGGTTAGCAGAACATCTCAAGGTGCGGTCACTGTACTGTACTTCATTAATTTTACAATCACAAAGAGTACGCTGGTGGTGCCTTTAAGCTTCCAGTAGCGTTGACAAACAGAGACTGATTCCTGATAATGAAGATACTCGGGTGTGTTGCTGTAACGGGGTACGTGTAACCCTGTTATAGTAACGTCTTCATTCTCAGGAATCAGTCTCTCTACGTAGGTTATAAGTACCCAGGGGTAACGGGATTACACGTACCCTGGTATACAGGGTGGGTCACAAAGGATGGTGTGACCAAGCAAAGGTGTAGATTACACAAGTCAGTGTGATCACACAATAATGTGACTACACCGTAACAATCAGCCACGGGACTGCACGTACTTTTGTTATTAATTAGGTTTTACTATCTAATAATATAAGCCTAAGGTTTTAGATAGGGGCGGATCGGGATGGATCAACGTTGCAACCTCACAGCTTCGAGATCCGGGTTGCGCTGGCTGCCGCTGTTACGGTAACTAACAAATACCTTGTGACCCGACGTCGATAAAACTTGAAATTAAACTTGGACAAGTGATGTGCGTTTCGAAACTAGGTCTCTTGAATGACAACGATGTTGTATTGAGTAATAACTCGTTTGATAAACTTCCGGCCATTCTGCTTGATGCCACCGGTATTGACAAACAGTTGAACAACATCGGTCCATGGAAAGCGGTAGTGGGATTTCACTCGTTCCCCATTGGCGCCCAGAGACAACAAAGCAAACATGGTGATACCATCCTCTTCCGGTAACCACGCTGTGGACGCTCGTAATTACTGAAGGTGGCGAAACTTGGAGCGTCTAATCTCGTAGCCTCGATGTGCTCATCATTATGGCATCAATATCGTTCCAAAGAAGACTATGCAGCAAGTTTAGGTGTAAGAGTCGCTCAGGTGATACTGTGATACATGCTACGTCAAATTCGCAGATTACATGTTAACACATGTCCTGTCGATAGATGTCCGGAGCCCCCACCGTTAAACAGAAATCAAAAGTGCAAGAGCCTTCGAAACATCGTATAAACCGTGTTTGTTGAGATATAAAACCCACCGAACGACCTCGTCAAAAAAATTATTTCGTGTCTTTGGGAAGGCTTCTCTGAACAATTTCTTCCACTTGCCTGTCACCGAAATACAATTCAAAGGTGGCTTTGAGTGGGCTGCACGCGAAATCAGGTGAGTTATCACGAAATTGTCAATGAGTGAGGACTTGGTTTGCATGAGACAAAATATTTTGCCCATAAATTACAGTCTGCTCTTGTGCATTGTTTCACAAGATCGTCTGATTTAACAGCGTTTGACTCGGATCGATTGATTTCCACCCTCTCCATCCTGTTCGCCTCATCCATACCCCGCTGAACGACCGCTACCTAGAGAGCGATATTATCCTGTAAAAGGTTAAGTGAGGTTTGGATAGTTGTAGGTTAGGAGGAGCAGCCCGCACGTCGGCGTCTCACCCCCATGAAAATTAATCCGCACTTTCTCTGTGCTTCCAGTGTTTTAACAGTAAGACGGTTGCCGACGTCCACTGCAGCGGGGCTGCCGTAGCTCTTTGCTTAAAGGAAGCTAAGCTAAGGTTCCGACCTCACGTTCTTTACAAGAACCAGTACGAGTGTATCGGATCGCGATTCGCTACCTCCAATTAACCGAGCTAAAGAGGTTCTTCCGTTCAAAATCGGAACTGCATTTATTTGTTTGAGTTGCTGCAGAGCCGCCTGAATTTCAAAAGCTTAGGTTTTCCTGATTAATATAGCAATACCAAATTAATATTGTAAAACCTAATTATTATGCATAACTACTAGCAATCCTGCCACGTAGTGGCTTCTTGTTACGGTGTAGCCACACCATCTTGTGATTACACCAACTTGTGTAGTCCACACCTGTATACGGTCACATCATCTTGTGTGACCCGCCCTTTCATACAAGGGTACGTGTAACCCTATTTTATCCACTCCGTCAAACTGTAGCGTCTGCTCGCGCACACTCATCAAAACATTCTTTAGTACTACCCAGTACTCAGGCGAGAAATTGCACGTTGGCAGTTGCTACGCTTCGTTTCACAAAACACTTACGTGGCGGAGATTGTAAGGACGGACTGGACGGCGTAATGTTGGTAGGAATGACCCCCAGCGAAATAGTTTAGAAAGCATCAATAGATGTAGCATCGCCGGAGCTTGCTGTACGCAATGTATCTGAGTTAGGCTGGTGCTGTCGAGGCTGAAGGTGCGCGCGGGTTAAGGTATCAACAGATCTATTACGAGAGCGCTTGACTGTAAATGTAGACGTCTTGGTACGCCGTCGAGTCGAAACTCCTAAGCATGAGGGAATGGCTTTGATAAGTTCAGGTAGTACTGGGTCGACTAAGAACCCTTTTTTGTTTGTCCGCGCCGAGTAAAGTAACCCACCCATCACGATGTGGTCACACAAATATTTGACAGTTTAATAGTAGAGCTTCTGGGCACTTCGAGTAGATGGAATAATAGCGTAATATTCCAGACACAATAGAGCCCGTAGAAGCGCGATACGTATAATTGAGATAGACCGGCTGGCAATCGCTGGCTAGAAAACCTCGAAACAGATTGCTGGCGACTTGTTCACTACGGATGCCAAGTACATCAGCATAGAAAGTCTTGGAAAAGTGGTTGAGTGAGCCAGACGGAAGTGTCCGATCTGAATACTTGCTTTGCTGACCGACCAAGCATTGTTTGGCAGTATCAGACTTGAGGTACAGCATCAACATGTTATGAAGTTAGCGCTAGACGTGTCGGACCTCTCCATCGGCAATGACCGACCCAACTGTGTCATTGTCCTTCACCGCTGCTAGCCCGAGCACCATTGCAGGGCGCAACACACCAAACAGCGTGGAAGATACACGGGCCTTGATGCTGTATATAGCGTCAGGAATAGCTTCAGGTTCAGCAGCCTTTGCCGCGGCAAGGATCGTCTCTGAGACTTGCTGCCCGTCATCATACAGACGCCGGATCGCCGTCAAAGCTGCAGGGCTTAGATAGGAGGCAACGCGTCCGTTCTCTTGATGCCCGTAGAGAGATACTAGGGGCTGCTGCGTCAGACGATGCACTCGCAAAAGACTGACGCTATAGCTCTTTCCAGGAGTCGAACGCAGCTTCAACCGAAGCACCGCACGTTAGTGCCCATTCCCCATGCTTGGAGATAGCTCGCGCTACGCGCTGTTGCTCATTCTGGAGCAATGGCAGATTCCATAGCCATATCGGCCTCTCTTACCCAGCGAAGGACTCATTGCTCATCATGAACGACCTTGGTCGGGAGGATTCATCTGTCATCGGCGGTGGCGTCATGAACGCAATCTTCTGCTCTAGGTGCTCATATTCATAGCTTGAAAACACCTCTAGGCGCGCGTATATCGCTACGGGACCTCGCAAAACAAAGTGCTTCATGCCGCTGCGTACGATTGTCGACGTGATAATCTCGATTTGTCCGCCCTTCAGGGCTGGACTGGCTGGTTGGACGGGCACTGATCTTTTCCCATCTCGCATTGTCAGATGATATTGCACGTGAGCAGACGGCTGGTTGGTTGAGGTGCCGTGAGTATATGAGCTTTTCTAAGCTCTAGAGTCTGAGCGCTGTGACGTCAGCTTGTTTTCGTCGTGGATAGCAAGTATGGAGTTGCATCGTTGTGGCAGCAGAGATGACACCAGAGGCAAGCATCACAGCAAAGGAAGTAGAAGGGAGGATAAACTGTGGTAAAATTTGAGGTGTGCTCAGGATCACAAAATGAGAAGTTCACTCATTATTAGCAAATACTCTAATATTGTTCGCTTGAAGGTGAGGCGCTGCTAACCAAAGTTCTGGTGCAACGGAGTTGCCGTGCACTTTCCACAGAAAAAGCTTTGACTCTCTGTGCTCGCGTCAACAAACGCACAATAGGTAATCCCGTGCGCTTCATCAGAGCCTCTCGCATAAGAAACCGGGTTAGTTTGACTTGCTATCTTAAGGATACGTATAACTAGATTTTATTCCATTAACACAATTATTAAACATATACATACACTTTCCAGCAGCTCACGTATAATCGAACCTCTACTTTATCAAGATGTGTTATCCTCGTGAATACCAAAGCTTTAGACATACATGAAGGCTCATCGAATGATCTTGCTATATCTTTAGTAATTTTTTTTAATTTACCGATCAAATGTGTGAGAGCTATCTACCTAAGGTTAATGCACATCCTTTCCTTGATATAATGTGGAGCATACAGGGTCTCATACTTCCGTTACTGTTTTGATACACTGCGCTGAAGTATCCGTTCCACACCCCTTTATACACTTTACCGTGCCTACGTTTAGGCAAACTTGAATCTGAAGTCCACTTTCGTTCACCAAATTAAACGGCTCAACGAATTACTAGCAAAACCGCGGTTTTCGCAAGCGACGCGCTTTAAGAAATGCTTGATAAGTTTGCTGAGGTGTCCTCCGAAGAGAAATGTCGCAGTGACTCTTTAAGTCCCTTAAAACCCCCAGGCTCAATCGACGATACATGGCCTAGCCGCTCTGCAAGATGAGTGCTCAGCTTCCTCCGGGTAGGAGTTTGGGATTCCATGCCCTTTTCCATCCCGCAATAAGAATCAAGACCCCCCCCACCGTAAAACCCACGACGATGGCCGACTCGTTACCAACAAGCTAAGCCTGGCCCGGGAGCCCGGCATGCTTTACTACGGATGCACGAGGCACACCGACTCTTGCCCGAATTGAGCGATCTTGCCGATGTGAAACGTCAAATTATTACAAGTATCCTGCCTTTCTCATTGATCAGCTACGCACGTTATCGGTATGGTGTAGCGTGTTCATGACTTGATTTGAAAGACTGCAGACCTCCACGTGTAGATAGGCAAGTAGCTTCAAGAATCTCAATTCGTTGCATGTTTAGTTTAGACAGGTTTGACTGTACGTTATCTATCAACATTTCCATGATACTGGTCGTAATATTTTTGTAGGGCATCCATGATACTGCTGCACATTTATGATCCGGATATCAGCTGTTGGTCAAAAATTAACTATTTGCTTACATTGGCATCTTCAAAATTTGGCGTGGTCATAAGGGACCAAGAAAACAAGTTTTGTCGCCATTTACCATGTGTATGTTATAGAGCAGTTTTTGATATCAAGCTCCGCACAGAAATTTCAAATCTCGGTTGGATCGCAAAAATAGCGATGATTTTCCTAGAAATAGCGATGATCTGTCGGAGGTTCATCCTTCAGTAGTTCTGTAACACACGTAATAGCTTCAAAACAGAATGCGACGAGTATTTAATTTGCTCAGGACGGCAAGCGTTCGTGTAAATTTTTACGTAAGATGCTACTTTTTTTTTTGAGCAGATTATGTCGGAGTTTAGGTGATTCCCCTTCCTTGCCTTGATCTTTAAGTCTGAGCTTTAAAACTGCCTCATCTCCAATTTTTTTATTCACAAGGTCCACCAACAATCACTTTCATTTTTGCTTGCTTCTACGACCACTACCACTGCATCGACTGTTATCTGCAATGCGTTTGGCTGTTTTCATCCTGCTTGCTTCGATAGCACTATCAGAAGGCGTCAAGAAGAATCTAAAAACCAATAGTCCGCACGATACTTCAATTCCGCATTCGAACGAACGCACTGCAGCTGTGAAAAATGGAGGCAAACTGAAATCAAAACCAGTGATTCAAAAAAAAGTTCTCGGCAGCGAGCTAAATGAGTTTTTGCCTTGAAAAGTCTCAAGCAGCTCAAAAGCCTGGATTTTTTGTCCGATACGCAAGTTCAAAACGCAGCGCTTAAACAATATGGCATACGCACCAGCTGGGAAGACTGGGAAGATGTTGTAAGAGAAATTAAAAGACTCAAGCCTTAGTTGTAGAATAAAATTCAACAGATTTTTTTACATGAATTTGATTAACTATGGGCAGTCAACTCTAGCATTTAGATGTTAAAAATTGTGAGTTTTTAAGCGATTTCTTACCATTTCTTATATCGTCAAGTAAACGATTGAATCTCTTATCTGCTGGCATTTTAAAAGCAAGTGCTGTACAGCCAGACCTAATGGCATTAACTGCAAATTTGACATCACGATACCAGAATCACAAGCAGGTCATTTCTATTAGTAAAAACCAGGTAGCCGATCAAGACGAGAACATGCCTCGAAATTAGGATTGCGCTGAGCGACAGCAGCCTAACATTTATCCGTTCCTTTCTAAACCTCAGCTGCCTGACCAGCACTAACTCGTCTGCCTTAATTCTATCCATGAAAGAATCCGCGGATTGCCAGTATGAAAACCACGAAGCGAAGTTGGAAACTAAAATACCTCATGCTGAGAATTTGGTTGCGAAGGAAAATAAGAATGTATACATGCACGAAATGCAATGCAGAACTAATTCTGTCATTTGTTACGCGTCCTGTCTTTGCCATTCTTATTGATGTTTTGTGCGAACATCATAGCTATGCACAGACCTATCACGACAATGATATGTGTCCATAGCCACGCCGAGCTCGAAAGTGGAATGTGGAGAATCAAATAGATCACACGAAGTAGTTCTCGAGTATTGTAGCGATGTGCTATGTTGTTAACTTACTTTAAAGTATCGTAGTAACGATTGCTGAT